TGGCAGCCTCATGGTCATAACTTTGTAGCTAATTAAAATGAAATAACTGTATTTGAAAATGAAAGGAAAAAAAAAAAAAATATATATATATCCTTCACTTATCGTGGAGGCTACGTTCCAGATACTTCTGCAATAAGTGAATAAGTGAACATCAGTGAAGTAGTGATGTTATATTTATTTTAGTATTTATATATATTTTAAGGCTCTATAAACCCTTCCCACACCCTTACAAAACTTTTCCACACTTTTCAAAACACTTCTAATGTTCCTGACCATTTTCTGCACTTGTAAGTCTACCTGATTTTAACAACATACATGCATGGTATTGCAAAATCCTGTGATACAGTGAAAAATCTGTGATAAATAATGCAGATTAATATTTTTTGAAAACCTATGAAACAGTGAGTCTGAAAGAGTCAAACCGCGAAATAGAAAGGGACTGCTTTATTTCAGGAGGAACCAAACTCCAGAATCATCGCTAGAATCAGAACACACAATTACATGAACTGGAAACCTAGCTGGGCTTTTTACAGTAATCAAGATTCATGTGTCACTAAGAAGTGAAAATTGTAGTAGCAGTATGACTTAGAGGCTTTGCTTCTCCATTTTACACACCCTGCTTAAGTGATTTTAAATAATATTTTAACCTAAAAACTATCCAGTGAAATAACCCTAATATTCTTCCTATTTTGATCCTGCTTTCTTCTAGTGTGTGTGTGTGTGTGTGTGTGTGTGTGTGTGTGTGTGTGCATGCGTGCACATGTGCGTGTGCGTGCATGCGTGTGTGTGAGCAGGGCCTCACTACACAGCTTGAACTCCTACTGATGCTTCAATTTTCAGCCTCTCCAGCTCTGGGATTACAGGTGTGGGACACCGTGCACGACTCCAGCGCTGGCTCAGCAAGGGGCTGGCTATCCTTCCTATTTTGTAGCTTCATACACTGAGGCTCAAGGAGCTTAATGTCTTTCTCAGGAGAAAGCAGGTAGTAGGTCCTTTGGATCTGAACTTTACTGACTCCATTTGATTTCTAACTGCATTTCTATCAATATGCGAATGCACATGAAAAAGTTAGACATTGTAACAATATTTGGATGTTCAAATATATATATATATATATCCTGAAAGTCTAAAAAACCCCACAAGAATCTTAAAGTTATAGTTATTCTACTTCACCAACATCTATATAACGTTTATTATTTTTCCAGCAATCTTCAAAGTCACTTTATAGCTAAGTCTTAGTTATCCTACAAAAACCTATGAGATAGATGCTCATTTGGTGGAAAAGGCCAATGAGAAATACGGAGGTTACTAAACCTCGCCAGGGGGGTAGGGTTATAAAATATGAATGCCACAATCAGAACCCAGAAAGTCAAGCTCCGGAGGCGACCATGAGCAATACAGACCCCGTATGGGGAGTGCTTCATACCCCACTTTGTTCTGCTCTAGATTGTGCCATTTTCTCTTAAGGAATGTTCTGGGCTTTGTTGAATCATAGCTTCATTACATTCTGGAAGGTGGAAATAATTATGCCCCTCTTCAGCCTTCCCACACTCCTCTCCATAGACTCTGAATGCTCCCCATAGCAAGGCACTACTCGCCAGAATGAGGCTCACACATGAAATTAAAGAAAACCAGGTGACACTGCAAGGTGGGTACCAGAGCCGGATTCTATATTTTAAGTACAAAATTGCTTTTGAGCTCCTCCAGGTGGAGAAGGATAGTGTACAGTGGATCCCCTTCATCAATCAAGCAGAATCGCTTCCCTTAGGAAAACTTCTTTTGTCTTCTGCTGCTAAGACACGGGGAAGATCCAGGCATGGTGGTACACCCCTGTAACATCAGCACTTGGCAGGCTGAGGCAGGATGATCACGGTGAGCTCAAGGGCAGCCTGAGCTACAAAGTGAATTCAAGTCCAGCCTGAACTACATAGGAAGACTTTGTCTCCAAAAGACAATAAATAAATAAATAAATAAATAAATAAATAGTAAAGCTAGAATTGACTTGTCACCTGTTCTGATGACTGCATGATAAACTGTCCCAAATGTGGAATGATGTGGCAACAATCCTTTATGGTCTCTCGTGGCTCTTGGGTTTGACTGGGTCCCACCAGGGAACCCTTCTTAAGGTCCACCATGATTTGTAGTGAGAGCAAGGCTCCGCTTGGAGACTCTCCATTCCAAATAGTTGCTGTTGCTTGTTGGCTGAGACTTTAGCAGGACTGCTGGCTTCTTCTGTGGCCTCCAGCAGAGACAGCTGGAGCCTCTTCCGGTTACCCCGGCTCCCAGAATTTGTGCTTCGGCAGACGACAGCCAGAAGGAAATTGTACTGGATTCTAGAAAGTGTACTAAAAATTTATGCCAGTCCATATTCAAGAAAAAGCAAGATAGTCTTTACCTTCCACATACAGGAACATTAGAGAAGGTGAAAATACTTCTTATAAAGGCTACTCAAAAACGTTTCCTCAAAATAACGTTGTACTAGCTGAGGTCATAATTGAGTGATATTTGATGAAATGTAGCAGAAGAAATTATAAAGGGTATGATAACAGCAATGCCTCATAGCCCTTAAAAACCTATGTAATCTCTCAGATGGGCCTGGTGGTGCACATCTTCAATCCCAGAATTCTGCAGGGCTTAAGGCAATAAGATTGCAAGTTCAAGCCCAGCCCAAGCACATAGCCACATAACCCAGTGCAAACGCACTGGGTTTAACTTTCAGTACCACACCACACTCCCAACAACAAACAACATAAAAGAATTGTACATTTTCATTTCTCCAAAAGAGTGAATAATTATTCTCTAGTCTAATTTTGTCTATGTGAGAAAAAAGAGATACTTTAAAAGAATTAGCAGTAGTTGTCTTCATATGCTTATTAGAGAATCTTCAGTGCAAAATAGTAATAGTCATGGTCAATTTTCCTTTGGTGGCTTAAAAAATAGAAGTTTCTCTTTGGAGGTTTCCTGAGAAGAGGAGCGGTAGCTGGGGAAGACATGAGGCATAAAAGGGGGATTCAAGACCCCAGGCTGCTGTATCCAGGGCCCAGGCTGTGGAAGGAAACCTTGTGGTTGTGCTGCAGATAATTAAAGTTTCTACAAAGTGATTGTGGCTGCTCTGAAAGTATTTTCAGGTCTGAGTCACAGTTTCTCTTAATAAATCCAAATCTTCACTTAATATCTGAAAGTCGCTCCAGGGTTAGGCTAGTGGTGGATTTAGAAATGAAGATGAGGCAGCTGTCTTCATGTGCTGCTTGGAAATGAGTAGAAAAACCACAAGAAATAAGTTACAGTCCCACCAGGTGAACCTTGGAAAGAGTGGAGGGCCGCCAGACTTCCTCAGAGGCCTTGGATTGAAGGCTTAAGCTGTGACTGTGAGCAAGTTCTCTTCACTGTACAGAGCTGTAGTTTCTTATTTACACAAAAATGAATAATATTGATTTGTGGGCATAATAAAAAGATAAATCTGTTCACACAAATGAGTCATATGACATATGATTGAAAACTTAATAACTACTAATTTTTATTTTTAATATTTGCCTCAGTTACTCTTCTCTCATTGCTGAGACAAATACCTGACACTCAAAAGGAAGAAAAGAAAGGCTTATTTAGCTCACAGTTACTGGAGGTTTCAGTCCATACTCAGCTGGCTTCAAGGCAGAGTGGCACATGGCAGAGAGCAGCCTTTCACAGCGGTGACAAGGAGCAGAGAGCAAAATGGAGGAGTAGCAGCAACAATGGCAACAGATGGCAAGTCTGTCTCCCCTAAATCGCATTCAGGCTATATACCCTACCCAGGCTGGGTGTGGTACTCACACCCATAATCCCAGCAGTACTAAAACTCATAATCCCAACCTTGATCATGAATTAATCTCAGACTCTAGAAATCCCCATCCCATGACTGCATAAGGCTTTGGGTGGGACAACTAGACACAAACCACAACAATATCATTTTAAGGTGTTGTATACTAAAGGAATCTTCTAAGGATTAGAGCATTTGAGATCACATAGATGTCATGTTTTAAATGCATAATTCAATTTTATAAAAACTGAATTTGCATGTAAATTTTAGATATAAGAATGCTATTTTGTGGTGTCTTATAACTGATTGGTTCTTTGTTCCGACAAAGGCCAATTTAGGTCTATATGTTTTGAGTTTTTTTAATCTCTAAAAAAATGCAAGGTTGAATCTGCTATTTATTACTCCTGATCTCTGAGGGACAGGCAGAGCATTATAAGGTTATCTTACAGAACAGAGTGTAGTACATTTGGAAAGAGCAAGGGGTGTGGGAAAGGGGGCTTGTTCACTTCCTGCTGGACAGTGAGCGTCTCCAGGCTGAAGACCAGAGGGTTACTGTTCTGATCTTAGCTCATAATTCAAGAACCAAAAGTAGAATCAGAGGCAGGTTTGTGTCCAGTCTTGTCAGCAGGTGCAAGCAAAAGGGGAAAGATCTGGTTTGATCAAGGGGGCCAAAAAATTTAAAAATAAAATAAAACAAAATGGGCTGGGGAGATAGCTCAGTAGAATAAGTGCCTGTCTGGCAAGCTCAGGGTTCTGAGTTCAATCCCTGTACCGCAAAGAAGGAAATAAATAAATAAATAAATAAATGTGCAGAAGGGAGGAGAGAGGAGAGTACTATGAAAGTCAGATCTAACTTTTGTGGGAAAAGTGGTTCTTGATGGCTATTATTTTCTGCACAAACAAAGGTGGGAGGGATTAGCCCTCACTATTTTCTGGGACCACAAGATTCAGGCAAGCTCAGCCTTATCGCTCGGAATCGGAGGCTTCATTCTGAGCCCTAACTTGGCCACACTCTGCCCTCTGAACCACAAACTCCTCAACAGTAAAATGAGGGGAAAGGTTAAAAAATAAATAAATAAAATAAACATCCATGATTTCTTCAATGGATTTAAAAATCCTTATGTTCTGTGGGTGCCCGAATGTAGCACAGGGGAGGGCAGAGAGAGGGAGATTTAAAGTCACAAAGGAAGGAGGGGACCACGAAGTAAAACTACATCACAAACAGGAAGTCAGCAGTCAGCGGATGCACAGTGCTGCCGGGGAGCTTTCGGGGGTCGGAGCCGAGGAGCCAGGGTCTTGGCTCGGTCTCTTTTCTTCATCTTTCTCACACTATAGTCAGCATCCAGTGATATTTTTATCCAATTTAGCCTTGATAAGGACTGACTTGAAGACCACTTGCAGGACCCTCGGTTCTCTCTCACTCCTCTACAATCTTCTCCCCGCCCTGGAGCTGCTCCTGTCACAGACCCTGGACTCCATCCTGAGACCATGTACAGCTTGAGCCATTTGTCTGTCCCAGCGAGATCACAGCCAGCCGTGAGGGGCTATCTGGTCTTCGTCTTCATGAGTGCCGCTGGTGAGAGTTTGGGACCTGGTTTCTGGCTAGGGTGAGACCCAGGGCAGCCTGGGAGGGGTTGGGAAGAGAAACAGCTGGCTCCAAGCAGAGAACAGGAAGCGCTATGGATGCGGAATTATGACACAGTAGTTCACTGCAGAAGGACATGAAAGGAGCCACTTCCAGCACACCGTTCAGACCTTTCCATGCTCTCTGAGACCTGGGAGACTTGGGAGCTAGGAGGTAGCCCTTTGTTTCAGTGCTCTGCTCCACTAAGCACACCTTCCTCGAGCCCTAACATGTGATTTCCTAGACTTCATTTCTCCTCCATAGCCGCCCCTCTCTCTCCCTGGACAGATGGTTATTAGAAAAGTGGGCCTGGGAAGAGGCTACAGGCGTTGCAGGGCTTCCAGAAGTCCTAAGCTTCCCCTGCCCCACCCCCCACCATCTTTTTTTTTACTACCAAAGTTAGGCAGTATTTTATCTCTGCCCCATTCTTGGTAAAAGTTAGTTTTTTTAAAAATAATGCACAGCCGAAGAGATACCTCAGCAGTCTAAGCACCTGCCTGGCAAGCGCAAGGCCCAGGTTTGATGTTGGCCCTGAAACCCAGCATGGTGGTGCACGCCTGTAATCTCGGCACTGGGGAGGCTGAGATAAGAGGATCGCTGCGAGTCTGAGTTGTGTAGCGAGACCCTGTACCAAATAAATAAAGAAGTAAATAAAATTTTTAAAAATTTAAAAATAATGCATTTAAAGTGTCAACATACTTCTTTTATTCTTGAAGTATATGGCACTGCCAGTCAGAGCTTCCAACCAACAAGAGACGGCCTATGAATTTGTCACAGGGCCTGAACAAAATAATTCCATCTCAAGCAAAAATATGTCTTGATCTCTTAAATTGTTTCCCTTGAGTACCATTCACAATTTTCTCTTACTTTGAACAAATACTAAATATAGTGACTTTAATACTATCTTTAGAAACCTCCAGTAGCAAAAACGACCCCAACCAGTTCTATCCTAACCAGCTCAAGATCCAGGTTTGATGTTGGCCCTGAAACCCAGCATGGTGGTGCACGCCTGTAATCTCGGCATTGGGGAGGCTGAGACAAGAGGATCACTGCGAGTCTGAGTTGTATAGTGAGACCCTGTACCAAATAATAGCCTCTTTGCCTTTCTAATGATGACCTCTCTACTGTCCAGGTGTCGCACTAGAACAATCTGACACGAAGATGAAAGTATCAGAGGAGAAATCCCTGAAGCCCATTCCTTACCTGGCCTACTTGCAGGCCAGTCCAGAACCTTGTATGGGGTCGCTCATTCGCCCAGAGTGGATCTTGACAGCTGCTCACTGTTCTTTACCGTAAGTGAGGAGCTCCTGCTCCTGGTAGCTCAGAGGGCTCTAACTCCAATGAAGTAAGTGTAGCAAGACATTCCAGAGAGTTCTCAGTGGAAATAGAACGCTCTTCTTCTCCCTGGAGAATAGAATACAAGTTTGAGTGGCTTAATTAAAGATCAGTAGGTGTCCAAAGACTTCAATGGCAAGTAAATACTATTCATTCATCAACAAATATCAAAATTTACTATATATAATTAGTAAATTTTGACAGTATAGCCACTAGATAGCCACATGCTGTTTAATGCACTGAGAAAACCATTGAGAGTATAGGATAAAAACAAAGTTTCCCAGGCAGACCAGATAGTTCAGCAGACTAAAGTGCCTGCTTAGGCAAAACACATGGACCAGAGCTCCATTCCCAGTGTACCACGCCAGCCCAGCCCCCAGGCCGTGCTGAGATGGTGTTGAGACTAGGCATGGTGGCATGCGCCTATAATCCCAGTGCTTGGAAGGCTGAAAACAGGAGGATCACTAGGAGTTGGATCTGTGTAGTGAGACCCTGTAGACCCTGTACTAACTACATTAAACAAAAAATGAAGATTTCCCTCATGGAGCTTACATTCTGAGAGCACATGGCCCAAAATAAAGCATAAAACAGAACAGCAGATAGTGATACATGGGAACAATATGCAGAGTCATTGTGCTGGGCCTTCCCAAAGATGTGAAAGAAGCAGGAAAAGAAGGTGACAGTGTAAAGAGCAAAGCCTAGAGCATAGTTCAGGCCCAAGGAAAAATACTCACGTTGTCTCTGATATCACAGAAATATTTGGATACTTGCTGAACTGAGAAATGACTGTTGATAGAGTGTAACGAATAGGGGCAGCTACATACTCTGAAATTAAAGAGTTATTCAAAGGCCACATCATGCAAGGCACAGGAGAACAGACCCACCTTACAACATAAAGCCTGCCATGCCAGTCAGTGTTGTTGTCAGGCGGTAGAAGTCATTGTGCAGGGGAGTCCTACTCAGAGTTCCAGGAGTACCCAGGACTACTTCCAAGCCAGAGTCTCAGCCCTGTGGTTGTTTAAGACAGTGTAGTCAGCACAGGTTGAATGTTTGCATGAGGAAGGCCATGCTTTGGACAGTAAGTCCATTCTCATTCTCCTGCAACTGGTGTTGGAAGAGCAGATATTCTTTCCATCATCCCTGGGTAGTGCATGAACTCCTGGATGCAGGAAATGGTTTTAAGGCCTGCTGCATGCATGGCTTGACTCCTCAGGATAGAGGTGGGCACATCTGGATTTGCCTGGTGGAGAAAAAGAGAAATGGCAGCTGGGCGCCCTGACAAACAGCTACCAATATTTTGTAAGTCTGTGATCCACGTGAGTGACAAATGGCCATTACAGTCATATGGGCCTGTGAGGGCATCGGACGGCCAACCATATCCAAAAACAGTTAGTGTTTCATGCTTTCTCACGGGCTGCTGGAGACTGTGGACAAAGCTCTGGCCTTGTGGATTACGGTACCATCTTTATTTCCTCTCTGCTAAGTCAGATTGTTCAAATCTTATCAAGAATGGTAGAGGCTGGCCAAATAGCTTAACAGATTAAAGCACCTGCAAGCAGGCAAAGGGGTCAGAGGTTTGATCCCGGGGCCTGCTGTGCCAACCCTACCCCCAAGGTGCACTGAGAGGGCAATTGAGACTGGGTGTGGTGCCACATTCCTGTAATCCCAGCTCTTGGGAGGCTGTAAACTGGAGGATCACTACGAGTCCAATCTAGTAGTGAGACCCTGAACACCCTGTAGACCCTTCCCTAAAATACAAAAAAAAGAATGGACTCTTTGGGGTACATTTTAGATATCCAACACCATGTCTAATTTTACATATGCATGGGTGTAATTCGGCAGTCCTGGGAATTCTTATTTTATAGAAAAATCAGGTCATTTCAATTTTTAGGCTAATTAATGAGACAAAGATGATTGAAAAGATGATGTCTGACATGTCTTAAAGTATAGCATCCTGTAATTCTGTTCTTTTTCCATCTTCTCACTTTCCTTCCAAAGTAAGGAAATTCGACTGGGAGTTAACCAGCCTAGCGTCAAAAACAAGAAAGAGCAGCTGCGGAATTACTCATTGACTGTGACACACCCTGATTTTGATAAAAAGACCCTGAAAAATGACCTCATGCTGATAAAACTCTCCAGGGATGCTGGTGTCAACGAACACTATGTGGGAACTATAGCCCTAGCCGTGGAACCTGTATCCTTCAATGACTCTTGCTTTATTCCAACCTGGACCTGGAAGGACTATAAAAATCGTAAGTGTTGAGAACTCTGCATGTTTGTGCTGGGGACTTTGGATCTACAGGAGGAATGTGGTGACATGTACTTTCTAGAAAGAGGAGCTATGAGGTGAGGTCCTTGATTCTAGAGTGATTACTACGTGTACCTGATTCTTTCAGGATTGCAGTCACAAAGAACATTCAAACATGCTGATATAATTGGGCAGCAACAAAAAGAACAGGCAATAATTATTGCATCTAGAATATTCCAGACCAAGTTCAAGGGAACTGGGTTTTGAGACAAAGGTGGGGAAACTGGAACTCTTCACTCACAAAGACAGTGCTGAGGCAGTACTGAAGAAAGGGGGTTCTACTCAGTGAGAAAGCCCACGATGCACTTCATGGAAGAGCAGAAGAGCAGTAAGAAAAAGAAAAGTGGAGCCTAGATCATGAGACATGGTGACTCTGTTCCAGTGCTGAGCGATAAAAATATCACGAGGAAGACACTTGTCTATCACCAAAGCTAGCTCCCTACAGGGACCTATTTTTACACTCACTGCTATCTCTGAGAGTCCCCTGTTAGAGGTGGAGACCTGAGTGGTTCAAAACACATTTGATTATTGTGACATACTGCTGCTAACTCAGGACAAACACATTTCCAGGTGTTATAGTTTCCCTCTAGTTGTTTCCCTACAACCTCATGCAATCATGGGGTAGACCTCTAGCGTTTGAGATTAACTCCTGGTCCAACTAGGATTATGAGTGTAAGTGCTGCTGGGATTGTGATTGTGAATACTACTCCCAGCCTGGGTCGGATAGCCTGGTTGCAACTTAAGGGAGACAGATTTCCTCTCTGTAGCCATTGTTGCTGTTATTCCTCCCTTTGCTCTCTTGTTTTTTGCTGCTGCCCTCTGCCATGTGCCACTCAGCCTTGGAGGCAGCTGAGTATAGACTGAAACCTCCAGTAACTCTGAGCTAAACAAACCTTTCATTCCTTCATTTTGGGTGTTGGTTATTTGTCCCAGCAATGAGAGAAGAATAACCAAATTACCAGGAAAACTAGTCAAACCTGTGTGATGATAAATATATAGCCTTCTCTGTGTGCTCAAACTAGAATAAGCAGAAAGAGCTGATACCTGCAGGAGTATGTCTTCTCAAAGATCCTTTGTGAAAATTGTGTTCTCATGCAATTGTTTCTCCCTGTTGGGTCTACGGATGGGACTGCTAATGATCAATGCTTTGTCTAGCTATTGTGAAAACCTGTTTAGATAGACTTAAACTCTGCTTCTAGTGACTACAGAATCATTTACCTTATCTGTAAAATTAAAGTACATTTATAAAAGTAGGACTACAACATACATATGTACTGGCGATGTAGATTGGTGGTAGAAAACATGCCGACAGCTTGCGCAAGATACTGGGTTTGGTTCTCAGCAGAAAAAAAGAAGGAAGGAAAAAGAGGAGAGAGAGAAAAAAAGGGAAAGGAAATTTTCATATTCCCAGTGTGTTAGAAATCCTTATTTGAGTATAGATGCAAAGTACTGAGCCTAGATATGTAAGAGAATGTATTTTCTTGTTTTGGTTTTTTGGGAAGGTTTTTTTTCTTTTTCTTTTTTATTTTATTAATTTTATTGAGAAAGAAATAGCAATGAGACAGTTTCAAAACAGGTTAGTAAGGCAGTTACAATAATTAATATGTTGCATGCTGTTGTCTTCATAGTAGTTATTCGTAGTAAAGATGCAGACATGATATCCTGTCCAAATACTATTAGTACAAATCTTTCTTCTCATTGAATTAAGAGGAAGTAGCTGTCTATCTATCCTAACTATTATGTATATACAAATACAAAGTGGTCCTGCATTTATAGCCCCTTTCTTTTGTTTAGTTTTGTCAGAGATTGGTATTCCAATGCCATTCAAATATTGTAGGTACATGAATTCAGCAAAATAATCCAATTTGGCCCAGTATTCCATAATAGTAGTGGATTATCTGTAGGACTGGCAATGTCACAAGTTTTGACTTGAGCCTTTCACAGCTCAGCATATTAATATGGCTTTACTGAACATAGCACTGTGTAATACAAGGGCCATGCTTGGAATGCCTGCATTCTGGTCTTCTAAATACTTACTGCTTCTAATGTTATATCAATTACTGCTATACTATCTCTCAAGTAAACATTTCTTTAAAAAAAGGTAATAAATGAAAACAAGACACAAGAAAAAATGTCATAGGACTATCCTGCTACAATGCTGTATATGGTTAGATTTCTAAATTTCTGTGTAAAAATATGTAATTTTCTTACATGTTTTAAAAAGAAGGATTCTTTTTAATCTTTTTTATTTTTTATTTTTCTTCACATTTTGTAAAGATTTGAAGTCTTTTTTTTAAATAGGAATAGAACTCAGGACTTTGCACTTGCCCAACAGGCACTTATGCCACTGGGCTATATCCCCAGCTGGGAATGTATTTCCTGAACAAATTGCAGCTTGTCTGATTTTTGTTCTAGACTTTTTATATCTTACTCAAAGTAACTGCATCACATTTTACAAATATACTTTATTCCTTATGATTTGAAGATAAAGCTGTATGAAGTCAGTGTCATGGAGGTTTACAATGCCTGATTACACCTTTGTAAAATCTCTTGTATAAGGCTTCTAACATGTATCAAGAATTCTTTGGGCAAACTCAGTCATGCACAGGGGACAACAATTCGATCCCCAGCTCCACAAACCACACTAAACCCACCCTTAAGGCAGCCCGTGCTAGAAAAAAAAAAAAAAAAAACCTCTTTATTTCCAGTATTTTATTTTTTTTAATTTAAAAAATAGAAGTGGACCACAAAATCACTTGTAACAAGGGGAATAACTCCAGAGTTTATCTTCTCTTACCCACAGACACTGACCCTGATATCCTGACATGGACAAACCAACATGCTCTTCCCTTCCGTGACTGCCTGGATATACTTATGAAACAAGAACAAAGAACCTCAGTGAACATCATGTGTGTAGGACAATCTCGAATTGTCCTATCTAAAATGAAGGTATCTTCCCGTCCTCTACAGGCCAATGTAGTGTGGGGTGCCCTGGGTGGGAACAGTGATGGTGGGAAATCAAACGCTCTTCCACTGAGGAAGGGAGAGAGCTGAAGTCTCCCCCACCCCCAAGCATGCTCAGCCTCTAGGTGTACTTCTTCCTCCCTTTCCAGCTATGGGTAGGCAATACCTGGGACGGCCCATGTGTCTTCTCTCCCACCTGCACTGAGAATGGGGTCAAGTTTAAATCAGGGAGGCAAAACCAATGTAGATGTTCAAAGAGGGTTGTCACCTCTTCATCGAAATAAGCCCATTGCCTTGGAAGATTTCGCCCCTGGGAGGTAGCATTTCTTGGAACTTTTCTCTTGTTCTGTGAAGGCAAAGCCACACTGACTCGCTCTTTCCTCCCCTGAGCAGGAAGTTTCAGCGACTCCAGCCATCTGCAGTGGGAGAGTGCACGGAATCTTGGCCTGGACCAATGGAGCTGTCACCCTGGGAAGTGAAGGATTCTTCACAGAGGTTCATCCTTATGCAAGATGGATTATGGAAATCATGAACACCCACTGAGACGCCCCCCAATATAATATCTGCATAATTTCTATGCTGGATCCACACTTCTCTTCGTCTTATTATTCCTGAGCAAAATCCAAAGTGAAAACATCCAATAAAAAAAGATACCCAAATATTTATGGCCCCTGCTTTATTTAACTTGCACACTTTGAGAAATTTGGCATCATTTTCACTAGTTGATTCATGCAAAAATTGCTGAACCTGTACGTGGATACAAAATGACCTTTGCCATCATTGATCCAGTTCTAAAACCTTGTGACAATTGCTATAGTGGAGATGAAGAGTAGTCCCTAATAGAACACAAAATTCGGTATTCTGTTGGTGGAGTTGGAAAAGGAGTCATGAAGCAGGCAAGTTGGGGGAGCATATTATAAAACTGAGAAAATAGTTTATCAAAAGCCAAAAAAAAGTGTAACATGTCCTGGAGAGAATATATGAAAATAAGTAACAAGTGGTCATAGAAAATCAACTGTGGAAAAGGAGAAAGAATGAGAGAGATTCTATTCCGTCCTGAACTCAGCGGCACAGGGACATCAGAGCCGCTCCTCCTCCGTCTTCTCTCTCTCAGCGCCTTGTACCCATGGCTATTCAAGCGCTGCTTCTGACTCATCCCTGCACAGCCTTCCTGCTTCCAGAAAGAATCACAGCTGTATTTGTGCTTACAGATTTTTTTAAAGTGTTCAATTGAGCACTTCTTACAATATATGCCTGTGTTTGCATGTGTGTGTGTGTGTGTGTGTGTGTGCGCGCGCGCATGCGTGTGTGCACATGTGCATGGGTGGTACTGGGGATTGAACCCAGGACCTTCACACTGCACTACATCCCAGGCCTCTTCTTTTTTTTTTTTTAAATTTTGATAATAGGTCTTGCTAAATTGCTTGGCCTGGGGTCAAACTTGCCATTCATTCCTCAGCAGAACGCAATAGCCACCACACCCCACTTCTGCAAGTCTTGAATGATGTCTTAGGCACTTAGTAACAATCTTTTCTTCTCCTAGAGAATTGGTTGCATAAATCTCCAGGGCAGCAACTTCAGAGCTGTTCTCAGGCTTCCAACGCTCACTTGCAGCAGAGGCCTCTGCTTTGTGAATAGGAGCAGATATCATCCGGGGCAGCCTGACGTCATCACACCTGCAGCCCTCCTTGGTCTGATGTTTCGCTCTTGCTCCTCTATGCTTCCTCCTACAGCGGAAGAGTGACCCTGTTACCTCCAGACTTTGTCTCCACTTGAGATAAGGAACCCATCTTTCCTGACTTCCTCATGGAGTTGTTTCCTTTTGTGTATTTCTCTCTTCTTTGACTTGAATATATCTATTTATGCATACGTTTAACATATTCATGAGTATTATGTTACATATATGATGTGTAACAATCAAATCAGGGTTCTTTGCATTTTAGTCTCCTGGAATTTTTATCACTTCTACATATTGGGAAATTTGGGGCTCTGTCTTTCTAGTTATTTTGAAATATTATAAGTTTTAGCTACCCCACTGGGCTGTGGAACTGTAGAACTGATTTTTTCCTATGCAATGTATTTTGATACCTGTATCCAACTTTTCCAATCTGTTGGCTTTGTCTTGTTTTAACTAAAGAAAACCAAATTTATCTCATTTAAAATGCGCAGCCCAAGGGTGTTGTCCTTTCTAAGCCTGCTCTCTGGCTTCTGTCTCCCTGGTGACAGAACCCCTGAAAGGTCTGTTCTACAGGTTTCTCCTCTCCACATCTCCCAGCCTCTGCCTCTCCTCAGACTCTCTGCTTTCTTGAGCTCTAGTTCTTCTTCCCAGAGATTTCTCCCCATCTTTTCACTCGTCCAACTTCCACTCCCCGTCCAAGTCTCTAACTTCAGATCCAACCATGGTTTTCTGACCCTCACGTTAGGACCCACACTACATGCTTCTCCCCGTAATTTCACTTCCCGCTGTGACATGTGAGATGTTAATTTACATGGTATTCATTCCCTTGACCACTGGAACCTGCATACGTAATAAAGTCCCAGCATGCAACATGCACTCCTGTTGATTTTTTATTGCTGTATAAAAATACTTACCACAGATGTAATGGCTTACAACACAATGAGTTCTTTATCTATTCCCAATGTTACTCTCATACTGCTTCAATTCTGTCTGAGGAGTAGCTAGAAAACTTTTCCCTGTGTTCTGGGCTCTCTCTTCACTATACTAGTTGTTTCCTTTGCTCTCCAGAAGCTATTTATGATGTGAGCCCATTTGTCAGTTCTTGGTATTATTTCTTGCACTAGTAGAGTTCTATTCAGGAAGTCATTGACTAGACCCGTGTCATCCAAACTCTTATTTCATCTTCAAGCAGATTAAATGTTGCAGTTTGAGCATGTAGTTCTTTTGATCCATTTTGATTTCTGTTGAGTACATGGTGAGTTCTATGGTTCTAGACAGACCCAGTCTTCTGCACATGGAGATCAGATCTTCCCAGCATCATTTATATTAAAGGACTATCTGTTCGGCAGTGTGTGGAGATCAGATATCTATGTGTGCCCGGGATGGCTTAGGATTATTCTGTTCTGTTGATCTGCATCCCTTTTTCTTGCCACTCCCATACTGCTTTAATCACTAGAGTATTATAGTATAATTTCAAGTTTGGGAATGTCATGCCACTAGATTTACTTTTGTTACCAGGGACTGCTTTAAACATTCATGTGTGGGTTTATTTGTGGACATAAAGTTTTGACTAATTTGGGTAAATATCAAACAGTGTCCCTGGTGGATCGCATGGTGAGGCTATACTTAGCTTAGAAAATTCTAAACTAGTTTTAAAAGTGCTGCACCATTTTGCATTCCCACAAGCAATCAATTCACATGCTTACCAACCTCTGTTATTATCAGTGGGCTCTCAGCCATTTTCCTGGGTGTATTGCAGTACTCATTACTATATAATTTGCATTCTCCTAGTGGCCTGTTATTTGACAGTGTTTTCATACATTGTTTTGCATGTGTATATTTAACTTCTCTGGTGATTTGAACAGAGCTGTGTCCCCACTACTACCAAAGTTTAAAGATTGAAGTCCTCAGTTCTACTGTGACTATATTCAAAGATAAAGTTTGAGGTTGGGGATACAGCTTGGCAATTTAAGCATCTGCCTGGTGAGCACAAGGACCCAGGTTTGATCCCCAGTACCACATGTTGTACAGTCCCCAGAACCCTGGATGTGCCAGCTCCCAAAACCAGACATGGTGGTGCACACCTGTAATTCCAGAGATGGGGAAGCTGAGACAGGAGGATCACTACAAGTCTGAGCTGCATAATGAGGTCCTGCACCAAATAAATAAATAAATAATAAACAATTTTTTTTTAGAAAAGGTAAAGTTTCTTAATAATTAGGGTTAGAGGTTAATAGGGCATGACTCTGATCTGATTGGACTAGAGACATGAAAAGGAGAAAACCCCAAGACCTTGCTCTCCATTGTCCCTCGCACAAGACAGAGGAAAGGTCATGGGAACCGGCCAGGAGAAGGTGACCATTGCAAGCCAGGGAGACAGCCCCTGCCTGAAGTCAGATTGCCAGCACCTGTCACAAGGGCTTTCAGCCTCCAGAACAGCAAGAAAATAGTTTGCGTCTAAGGCGTCCAGGCTGCATGAGTTTATCGCTGCAGCCCAAGCAGACCAGCACATCTGATAAGGTGACTGTTCAGATTTTGACCCACTTTTAAAAGGGTTATTTTCTTATTATTGAGTTTCACTATTTCCTTATATATTTCGGACACCAATTAGTATTTAACAGACATATGTTTTACAAACATTTTTACCCAGTGTGTGATGCTTCTCAGCACTGAGCCCTGAATACTTGAGGTTGTAACCATTCATATAAGTGCTGTTATTCCACCATTTATTCTACCATCTGTGAGCTCTGGGAAGGCAGAAATGGCATTCTCCAGATCTAGGCCTCCGCAGCAGCAGTCACAGATCTTACCACAAGTGAAGTACATATAGCATAGATCACTGGCTTGTGATTTGGATGAATAAATAAATGAAGCAAAAGGCTGAAATATTTCAAAGAGGAGTTTAGTGCCAGGCAGAGGGAAGGATATCAGCCCCGAAGTGCTGGATATGCCCCCCAAAGACAATGACAGTGTCACACAAATGGAGGCCAGCATCACAGAGAAGGGAGGGGGCCAGGTCTTCACACAGCTTGGAGGGCACCTGCCTGCAGAGCTCACAGGAGAGAAGGCTGTGGGGACTTCAACTTCACTCTGCGCAGCTACTTTCCTCCATGAAGAGGAGGGTGAAATCCTCCTTCCAGAACAGGTTCCTATGGCACTGGGGTCAGGTCAAGGGGCTCAGTTTCTTTCTACTGCCACAGCTAATACCACCCCTACTCTGAGGGGTGGGTGCCTTGATTCCCAGTACCACATGTCGTGCAGTCCCCAGAACCCTGGGTGTGCTGAATCCTCCCACCAAAAGAATAAGGGTGACCCTTTTTCTCCTAACCCTAGAGCTTTGTCCTGCTTTATCTTATTTGATCTTCCTCCCCTTTATGCTTCCAGAATCTATGAGTTGAAACTTACTTCGATGTCATCATGAAATTCCTTCTCCTCTGGACTTTCTTAAGCCTGCCTGGTGAGTACCCCTACTTTTCTCTGTTTACTTGCTAAGGAGAAATCCTGGAGAAAGTATACAAAATGAATCAAGACAGAAGGAGGCACTTTTATACATTTCAAGCATAGGACAGGTTATCTGACCTTTACCATCACTACTACTGTTCCCAGCAAGGTTCCCCTAGGACATTGCCTGCCTACCTCACTGTCATTGATTGTGTGCTTTAGGGAAAAGACAAATTGTTGACACCTCCATACAACCCCACCTCTAAAGCAATTTAATTAAGAGAGCAAAGTTCTTCCAGAATCCTGTAGATCCTACCATCATTTCCTGAAATATTCTGCTAACAGTGTCCTCCCCTACCGGGTGTCAGCCTTGCTGGCTGTTTAAAAACAGCGAGGCTGTTTTTAAAATAGGACTTAGGACTCCTGGCTATAGCTCCTGTCTCTGTGTAGAGTCCCTGACCCCATGTATCTGGTCAATCAAACTTTCTGTCTTCGTTCAGCATTGTTCATGAGATTTCACATAAAACAATGATGTCAGTTTCCTCTTGGATACCTACAAGGCCTAAGGTATAGAAGCAGAGTGGCCTAGTAGGAGAATAATTTGATAATCCAGACAAGAGGTGGTAGCCTGGAGCATTGCGGTTAGTGGAGGTGTGGAGTTGTGATGGGTTTTGGATATGTTTAAAAGAGAGACCCAACAAGATTTCCCTAGTGTGGGGAAAGGGAACTGTGCCAAATGTCCAACTTGTCGACACTCTGTTCTGCCCAAACCTCACCCTCACCTCCAAGGCACTCACCCCAACACCCATTCCAGGAATCAAACTCATAATCTCGAGCTTGCCAGGCAGGCGCTGTGCCACTGAGCTCTAACCACAGCCCCTAGCCTGCTCTTACCATGACACACAGACCACCTTGTCTCACATTATTGTTGAGAGGGAGCATGATTTGTGGAAGGAAGAGCTGAGCTAACAGTGTCCACTGGAGCATAAAAATGTGCAATTCGATTTGGACAATAATTACTGGCAAGTAAAAGGAAAACACCTCTCTTTTTGAAATAATTGTTTCTTGCCTCTATAATTTTCTTCATATCTGAGAATAACATAAGTCATTTTCCAGATTTAGTTTATAGTAAAACTTGTTAGAGGGAAAGGGGGGACTCGAAGCTTGTTAAATGATTTTATTTGAATTTTTGTAATGAGTACTGAGAGGTTTCAGAATTTTTTTTTTCAAACTTGGGATTGAACTCATCCCTTAAGCTTGCCGGGGAAGTGTTTATTCTACTGAGCCATCTCCCCAGCCCCCAGAATTTCTTGTCTGTGCCTCTCTTTTCAGCTGCCTTTGCCTTTGATCCAGACACCATTGGTGATACCCAACCTCCCTACCTGGTCTACTTGAAATCTGATTACCTGCCCTGTACAGGAGTCCTGATTCACCCCCTCTGGGTGCTTACAGCTGCACACTGCAATTTACCGTGAGTGAAAAGTCCCCCAGCAGCTCTACTCTCTGGCTCCTTGAGTGGAGCACAGGCTCAGATCTCTGCCCAGGACTCTCTCCTAATTCAGTGAGAGTAGGCAGACCTGTGGGGAGATTCAGTGGCAGAGAAAAAAGTGTGTGAGAAGGGTGAACAGAGGGTACCCAAATGGAAACATCCTCTTATAAACATCCATGTTTTTCCAGGAGACTCCAGGTGGTACTGGGGATCACAAACCCATCCAACTCCACCGAACGTAATGTGCAAATGGTCGGCTATGAGAAGATGATTCATCACCCACAATTTTTAGTCTCTTCTATTGAATATGATCTCATGTTAATCAAGCTGAATAGACTTGTTGAACTCAACAACTATGTGAATGTGGTCAACCTGCCCAAAAGTGCTGTCAAGCCAAAAATGATATGTGACGTCTCCACGTGGGCATACAACTTCTGTGAAATGGGTGAGTTTAAGGTGAATGTGGCATGTGTTGATGTCAGTAACATCCCCACACTAGATCGTGCCTCTATACCTTCTGCTGGTTTCTGAAATTCCGTCCCGTGAGGCTTCTTCAAAGCCTGGAATTCATCCCTTTCATCTTGCCCTGAAGCCTCTTCAAGGAGCCATCTAGACTTTTCCGCACTGCTTCTTTCTATGACTGCTGCTTCTGTGTATGATAAAAGGGATGTCATCAGAAAGGAGGGACTTATATGTCCTAGTTGTGTTCTTGGTCCTTATATGTCCTTAGTCCTAGTTGTGTGACAGCATTGTATTTACCGTAGGGATTCAATTTCCCTAACTCTAAAAATAAAGGGGGCCTGCCCCTTAGCTCAGTTCTTTAAGTGGCTGCTTCAACAAAGCAGTCAGGCTCAGGTTGCTGTGGTTCAATCCCCACAACTCAAGCCAGCCAAACCTTCCCTGAAGGCATTCGGAG